AGTTGTGTACAAATGACCTCCACATACTGTTAGCTGGTTTAATCACCATTTATTTTTGTACCAGCACCTACTGTCACTTGCCACCTACAGTAACCCAGTAATCTTAAGCATTACAAATTAGGAGACCTCTTATAAAGTATATAAAAATTTGGATTAAATAATGCTTAAAGTGAATGAGTTAGTGTCAGGACAATGATGTGGGAAATCTGGGAGAGAAGCTTGTATTTTGGATGTACAAGCCCCCATCAGTAATGATCATATTGGTTCCAGATGGTCTGAAACTGGACCTCAGTACCAAAACCTAGTGTTGTCACTTCCCAGGGTCTTCATTTAAGCTGATATGTGTCTACCATACATTATTACAATGAATTTATTCTCACTCAGTTTTTTTTTTGTTTGGTTTTTTTGTTTCTTTGTTTCTAGTTAGCGAACCATCAGAGGTGGTGCGTCGATATAAGACAGTGCTGGGTATCTTCCAAAAGGGCAAGACAATGGCTGAGGCATTCAACAAGTTTGGGCAGATCGCAACACAATTTCACAAACTTCTGAAATTGCCGAGTTGGCAATTGCTGCTCCAGAAAAGTATGCGCAGCTTGTTCAACAGGTGAAGGGGAGCAAGCTTTCTGACAAAGTGAATTCGTTGGTTGGAGGATGGACAAGTAAGTGGACAATTATTATGCTTAAATGAACATTAAAACAGCATTCTCCTAATGAAAATGCAAAGCTGTGGACTTCATGAAATACATGATATCTTTATCGACTATTTACTAGCATTAGTTACCAAGAGACATTTAAGTTTAATGCTTATTGTATTTAATTTTTAGTTGATGCTTATTGCTGTATCAACTAATGTTATGAACATGAAAAACATTAGTACATGATTAATAAATGCATTAGTTACCTATTATTTAATGCTTATTACTGCATTAAGTATGGTTAATTAATGTACCCTTATTGTAAAGTGTTACCCAGCAGGGTAGCATCGCCTGCTGTTGAATATCGAATTCTCTAGTCTAATATCTCAGTCTTTGGTGTTTCTTAGCATCTAACTTTATATAGCCTGAACCATTCCCTTTATATTTCTGTGGCAGTACAGTGCTGAGGAAACATCACAAAAGCTGGACTATTAAAATTGTCAAATTGTTTTGCATCCTTTAAAATGACTTTTTTATATTTGTATGACATTTTTGGGAATGCAACTTTCAAACAAAGTGGAGCAGAAAGGCAATTTTATGGTTTCTGACTGTGGTAATGATTGAATCTAACAAATGCACACCTCCTCATGAACAGGTGGTTTTCATCAGTCTGAGAATGAGAAATTTAAGACAGTTTTGTGCACTTAAGAGAGGTAAACCAGCTGGAACACTCGCATAAACAAGCCTCACAGGAAAAAGGTAAGAGAAATTCAGGACAATATGAACATGTTCTTACAAGAGACCCATTATATGTAGGCTTATATGTTTTACACATTGACTTTATGTGTTCTATTATGCTTTTGTGTTTTGCTTTTTGACCTAGCTACAGGATTGTTTGCAATCAGGTGCAATAAAGTTGAAAATGAATTTCACTTGTACTGCATCTTCTCTGAATAGACGATGCATAGCAGAGACAAAGCTGATCATTTGAAGCCAGAACAGTTTGGTGCAGGATCTGGCCTTGTGTAATTTCAATGACTCAGCTCTCCTAGAAGAAACCTGAGAAAAGTGCTAACACAGAGGCAAAAAAAAAACAAGAAAAAAGTTTGCACATTGTGTTGAGCCCCCAGTAATTTCATGCAATAGCGGCAGCAACAATTCGATCCGTACAGGATTTTTCTCAGGCACTATCAAACAGGCATCGCACTGACAGGCACATTTTTATGTGCACCTGCTAGGACACCACTCAGGTGTTTTCAATCAGGTTAATTTGAAGACAGACTGCTTCTTTTTTAAACATGTTTATCTGCACTGAGATATACTGAGACTGAACATGTTAAAAGCCCTAGAAAGGGAGGAAATAATAATATCTCTTTGAAGAGGGAGGGATTTTACATTTTCACTCTCAATACTTTGTCACCTAAAGGCTTAAATTTAGATTTTGATCTAAAGCCATTTTTGCAGTATGGTTAATATTTGGACTATAGACTAATACGTTTTTGGGATTTTTTTTTTAAACATTGTATTTGCCTGTTTAAATGTTCCTCTAATGCTGTTGTGTTTTGTTCCTTTACTGGGGAGTTTTTGAACAGTGTATTTTTATTCTGACCTGATTGTCTTCAAATTGGTCAGAATGAAAACACCTGAGTTGTGTCTCAACAGGTACACATAAAAACATGCCTTTCAGCATGATGCCTGTTTGATCATCTCTGACTAATATCCTGTATGGATCGAAATGCTGCTGCTGCTATTGAATTAAATTACTGGGAGCTCAGCACAGTGTGCAAACCTTTCTTGTTTTTTTTTTTTTTGCCTTTAAAGCTGTTGTTGGTTCAATTCTTGTATATTTTTTTTCAGCTGTCCATGTTCTATGTCCTTTGTTTAAGTGCTAGCATAAGCCTTTTATTTTTGTCTTTATGACCGCTGCCCTTTGCATGCCCGCAGTTGTATGTTTGTGATGCAGCAGAATCAATAAAAAGGTACAACGAGTGCTGCAATTTTTAGCAGCTATGAGGTAGAGGCCTGTTGAGAGAAGTGAAGATGGTGGCAGTGTAAATAGGAGGTAATGGATTTAGGATGGGAAGAAGCACTTTTTTTATAACCCCACAATCTGTCCAATATCTTTCATCTGGGTCTTCTTTGGTCTGTGTGAGATCTGAGCTCCAAACCGTTGCCTCTTCACCAATCGTATCAGTCGCCGGATTTTTGTCTCTCTTTATCTTTGTCCTTCTTTTAAGAATAGCTGTTCTAATTAATTTAAATGTGAAACATACTGCAAGGGGGGGGATTAATTGCAGGGAGGATAGACAAAGTTGAAATTAGTTTTGAAGATGATTAAACAAAATGATTACCTAATCACATAAGTCATTAATTCTATTGTCTGCGCTCAAACACGTGTGTGTAGGATTTGTCTGGCACTGGTCTGCGCTTGCAGCATAGACTTGGGTATGGAACTGAGTAATGAGTGAAGGTGCCAAGTTGCTCCTACCAATATCTGTTACGATGTTATGCTTCTAACTCCACAGTGTTGCCCCTGAGGTTGACACAGTGTTGCCAGGTTTGCATGTTTCTGTTAAAAGGTGCCTATTTTGATGTAGACTGAAAGAGCAATGGCACATTAGCAGTACAACACACACTCACAATCTCTCTGTGTCAACTAGTGCCTGCAGCTACAGTATGCCTGTCTGACTCTCTCAAAAACCCCTCATGCACTTACACAAGAACACACTGTATACTATAATTCATCAAATGTTTTCCTGATGTGGAAGCCCTTGAAGTTACAGTGACTGATTTATGAAATTCTATACAATCTCTAGGGCTTGTCAAAAACTTTAATGTATTCTTTGGCTTTTGAATCATTAAGACCTGTTTACATATTGTATAATTAGAAGTGTTCCTATCCTTTCTTTGATGTGTCAAGAGAAGAGGAACTGATCTGAATTTATAGGCAGACTACGCATGTACAGGAAAGTAAACAAGAGCTAATTTCTCAATGTCACATGAAAAATCTGGTAAAACACATTTTGAGTACAAATTACTCAAATGACATAGTTAAGTAAAAGAAATCAGCTCTTGGCTTGGTGATAGTGTTGAGCTGGTTTAGGATATTTGCTACAGTAATTAGCAATAAACACAATCTACAGCTGAGGCTGATGGGAATATAATTCAGGTGTTTGGTCATACACCAAAGTATTGCACAAATGTAAATTTTGACCTGATGACGATGTTAGATGGAAAGTTAAGGGATAATCACAGTGACCACATTTCTATATCAAGTTTCAATGAGATTCATCCTCTGGGATGTATCTCTACTGAATCCACGAACATCTGCCTGCATGTGTTTTTCTATATTTTATCACATTAACAAAACAAATAAAGACACTATTTTTGAATATTAACCACTTGGATGAAGTGTCCAGTCTGTGGGTGTATGTGTGTGTATATATTTTATATGACAGACTGACTAAACAATAAGGAACCTTGCAGCCAAAATGAGGAGCTGGCAGTGTTGCTTTCTGGTTTTTGGTGAGCTCAGAGAGAGTGTGCTTGGTTTAGGAGAGGAATTAAACTGCTGTGCATTTCATCTCTTTGACAGGTACTAGTACAGTCACAAAAGAATTAAATAGTGCATTCTTGGAGAGAAAACAGAAATCATACTACTAAATTGTTTATGATAAACAGCTAGTTAAACCTTTAAACAGCAGAAGACAAGTGTGATCACTGGCAATTCGGAGAGAACGGTGGGTTCAAATTAATTTTTCAGTGAGAAGTTGCATGAGTGTAGCAAATCAATGAAACACCAAAACAAAGATAACCTCAGTATAGCCTAGTGAAACTGAGGCTGTGTAGCATCAACTGTGATCACTCTGATAAAGGCTATGCACATTTGTTCTGCTATGCACATTCAAAACTTTTCTTTGAACAAGCTACCAGTGCAACTCAAATTTAGAAACACGGTTGGAGGAGCAACACAAAATTTATGTTGATGATTAGATACCTGCGATGTGAATACAGCCCATGCCTGTATTTTGAAATATACACCTGCGTCAGCAATGGTGATGCACTTGACAGTTAAATAGTAAAAAAAACTTTAGTGGAATTTCCATACGTCCGCATCACGCTGTCCTTTTCTCCTTGTCTTCCCTCTCTCCAGTACTTGGAGTGTTCAATTTACTGCCTGTCTGCATTTGACAAAAAAGCTAGGATTGAGCTGGAAAGATAAAGGGACAGATTTGATTTGTTATACCAGCAGATTGTGTAAAATATTGGACACTTTTTGAAGTAAAACACTGTTACTCGCAGTTTTAAGTATTTTTAGTAAAGTGTCAATCTTTCACGGAACCGTAGATATAATACACCTCCATG